GTGCCGTAAAAATCGGGCGCCAAATGTTTTCTGACTTTCATTAAACGCTTATATCTCGATACTCGTAAAAGACAGAAAGATGATTCAAAAAGCACTGTTTAGATCGTGCTCTCTACTCTATTAGAATTGCTCACTTTTATTATTGGCAATTATTTGTTTCCGTTTATTAAGACGAGAAGGCGCGCAAAATCTCAACGTTCGAGTGCCGAGCAGCGCCGAGCGATTTCTTATTTTCATTAAACACTTATATCTCGGCAACCACCACAGATATAAACATCATTCAAAAACGACATAAAATATCGTAATTAGCGCTAATGTGATTGCAATATCATTAATAATACATCTCACATTAGGAAGGAAGCTGTGACAGCGTAAACGACGCTGCTTTGGAAGCAGACCACTCGTTACTTAAAATAAAACCAGCTTTAAAAATCAGCTGCTACTAAAAGCACCAAAATATTTACGACCGACGTTACCGTGCACGCCGGCATTCACGGACTCGGGGATCTACTAGGTCTATAATTTGGATCAGCGTACAGGTGAAATCAATGAGCACGATTTTATTTTTATTTAGATTAGAAATACTTTTGATAGTAAATATACAATTACAGAAAAAATACTTGTACATACTAAACATAAACAAATGTATCATCACCATAATACTGCACCAGTCAATTTTAGTCCTCATCGCTTTCGTCAAGTATAATTCGAAAAGTAGCCAGATAGGAGAAGGCAGTTGAGACGTACTAAAATAATACGAATACAATAATTTTAATTTAGACGTTTAAAATAATTATGTTATATGACAAAGGGGGGATTATAAACATTCTGTATATAGATAATAATATTATACAATAAATAGCTTATGCAAAGTAAATTAATTACAAAAAAAGAGAGGAACTTTTTTCTTGTGAAAAACATATTAACATTAGACATATATAAATTTTTATAAATAATTCTTGTGCGGGATAACAGGCACGATGTTATCTCCAGCATATACGCATCTATATCAAGTAATACAGAAATAGTGCTACGATTAATAACAACAAAATACTGTAATAAAATCAATGACTCACTGAGGCATAATAATTTAACGAAACAGTCGGTAACATGCAAGGTACATTTACAGCTATAGGTTGTTGGGCACGCAATAAAGTGTGTAAAAAGTTCTTTTGAAAATCAACTTTCCCGTTATACCACATCGAATCATACGCTGCGTGTGCAACATTAGAGCTCTAGAATATTAATTTTTAAAAGTATCGAGCTTCTTTTACGATCTCTACGTATAGATATTATAAACGTAACTTACTGCACTTAGCAGATGGTCAGCTGGCCACGCACACAAATATACTTTTGCGAGAGATGAAATAAAGAAGATTAAGAACGTAGATTTTACTGACATTGGTTGTCGCTGTTAAAAGACAGGATTGTAACGGTAGATATGTGATATCTTATGCTTCGTCAAACGATATGTTCTGTTGAAATGTTCTTTAAATTAACATATTCGAATTATGGGACTATCGTAAATAAACTACCTTGCAGAAATAATAAGAAAACTGTATTACAAAAGTTTTACGTGCAGAGATGCTTACATTATATAGGAACAAAAAATTGAAAAATATCAGGTATGATATTTATATCTACTTTTCGTTAACTAAAATGAACCTTTTTACTCACGCTAAGAAAAGTGCAACCAGTAAAAATAATAACTATCGTACTGATGGCTAACGACGCTAACATTACATATCGAATAGAAAGGGTAACCTTTCTTCCATACCTAAAATGAGAGAGATATATTTCTATCAAAATCCTGCAGTTAACGTTGATGTAAGAATTAATTAAATGTTACTTATGTTCTTTTTAACAATAAATATTGTTTAGTAATAAAAAGAAATTTTTTTTATATCAGAATTAGTTATATTAACACATTTTATAAACCGCATGCAAGAATGATTAATTATACCAATATATCTTAGAATATTAATACATAAATAGAAAAAGATGGATTAATTAATTTTCTACTTAAACTTAAATTAGAACTTTTTATTGACTTAATATAAAATATTATTATAAATTGCAATTCCAACAATTTATATAATAGAATAGAAATGTTTTAATATTAAAAAAATTTCTTTAAGATAATATTGCTTTATATGTAACACTGATACTGATTACTCTCATAGAGAGAAAATATATGGATAATAAACCAAATATCTAGAAAATTTAAATAAATTGAACATGATGCTTTAATTATTATTTACCATAGTAACTCTTGATGTTCTTCTATACATGCACGCAACTCGGTAAATTTCGTGACGGCTCGGAATCTACTTGATAAGATATCACATCTCGCTGACACGAACCACAACAGAAGTGCGATAAAAATATTTGCGCATACCTGCGTGTAACTTTGATATATGAGTAATATGTGATGTAGATAAATTATAATTTTTAAAGGTTGATAGTCCACGGAAAATGGATATTCTATGTCGATGGGAAAAGGATGGGGTTCTACTACAGGACTGATGATGAGCAACAAGCCGGTAACGGTGAAGGCGCATATTGAGCCTATATATATCGATTTACAACTGTCAACATATCGATGAAAAATGGCCCTCTCCTCTGGTTTCGCTCGCTTGCAATAATCTTCCAATTCGTAAATTACGTACTGCAATTGAACGTAATGGTTAAACAAGAAATTTCGTGATGTGGACGAAAACACAAGAGAATACTATTTTGTTGATTTACAATATGATTTAAATTTTATAGCATGTCTAGCCTTTTTAATATATTTTGATTTACAAAAATAAATCAGTT